GATTCATTTAAAAAAAATACTAATAAGAATTTACAAAAAATTCAAAAGAGGAAAAAAAAAATCAGAGTTAAAAAAATTAAGCACGAACTACTCCTTTCAAAAGACCAGCAGAAATTGACAATACAGCTCTCCAAAGTATTCTGCATATATACCCAAGTGTATCTTTCCCTTCTTCCATTCCTCCTTTTCCTCTCCCAGTTTTCCTTCCCATTGAGCAGTTTCTTTGTCTTTCACAGTACCTGTCGTACCTTTTAGGTTTTCATTACTCCTTCAAGTTCTCACACCAGCCAGATCATATGATGTTTGCACACGTGGATCTGATTTATTTCACTTCCTAATAGACTTCAGCTGCATCCATTTATCTGCAGAATCCTCAAATTCATCCTTTTCATAGTTGAATAGTTCTCTATTGTGTAAAAATACCACTTTTTTTTATCCATTCCTCAGCTGATGGGCATTTATGTTGTTTCCAAGATGTAGCTATGACTAATTGTGTTGCTATAAACATGGGTGCACACATATCATTGTGGTATGATTTCAGTTCTTTTGGAAAAATATCCAGGAGAGGAACACCTGACCTGACTGGGTCCTCCCAGTGCTAGCTTTTCGAAGAATCTCCATACTGATTTCCTTAGCGGTTGTACTGGCCTGGACTCCCACCAACTCCTTTTCCACTACAGCCTCTAGCAATTGTTACCGCTTGACTTCCTGGTGATAGCCATTCTTTCTGGACTTCGCTCACGTATTATCTCAGCTAACCCTCACTGTGAACCTGTGGAAGATAGTGCTTTCCCGTCATAGAGCCTAGGCCTGGCTGGGTGACCCCTCAGTGCACAGGGGAGCCTCGGGACCACCCTTGGCTCCCAACGCCTGTTCCTGCAGTTCACTTCATGTTGAAGCTTCTCCGAGGGTCTTAGTTCTAGTGTAAGTAGTGACCAGACTCTACCCAACTCCACACACCCCTTCTTCACCGTGGCCAGACGTCTTCATTCCGGAACCAAGACATGATGCCTGCAAAAGCTGCGTAACAGTCAGCTAGGACAACAGGAAATCCAAGGAACGATACAATAGGCTTGGAGCTATGCTCTGCAGAGCGAAGCACAGGCACGAAAATCAAGCCCATGGGAGCAGCACTCAGGAATCTGACCTGGAGGCTATGTCCCTGGGGCCAGGCCCCAGCAGCCAGCCCTACCCCTTCGTCTGAACTCATCTGTTGCCCTGCCTTCTGACCCAGGAGTTGTAGTCAAAAGTCAGCTTATTTTGCTGGAGCAGAGGGAGGACCAGGCCTGGCTGCTGGCATGCTGGGGCGTGTTTGCTCCTGGTGTGCTCTGCCCTTGCCTTCACCGTGTGTCGCCTTTCTTCCAGCCGCACTCCTCCCCTTGTAGACATTTACTTTGCCCTCTGTGCTTTGTGCATAACCTGACTTCTCATCCAGAGTGCTTGACTTGGACTCATCCTCACGTGGACGGGCCCCGCTCCCAGTGCCCCATTCAGCTTGACCTGCACCACCCTCCCACTGTTCCCCAGGGATCCTCTGGCTTTTCCCTGTCACCTCTTCAAACATGGCCAGAAGTTGTGGGCCCGTGAGCAACATCAGCTGCCTTTGTGTGGGCTGCTGCTTCCATCTTTTCATATTGTAAGTGTTTAGGATTTTTTTTTTTTTTTTTTTTGGAAGGATCTACAGGGTGTTCAGGGTCTCACTACTAGATCCGACTCATAGTGATCCGCCTGTTTACAGCCTCCCAAGAGCTGCGATTACAGGCACGCGGCCACCGCCTTGAAAGCTCGTGATAACCCAGCATCATCTGGGGTTGGCACCATTTTCTGATTGCCCGTTCCACTGAGAATCTGTCAGCGTTTCCCGGCTGCTGGAATGTCAGGTAATTTTAGGTTTATATTCCAGTCATCCTTGTGTCCTGTCACAGTTCTCTGGAGAATATGGATTTACTGCTGCTCTAACAAGTGGTGGGACTTCTCAGTCTGTCTTTTCCTTTCATGGTGGAGATTCCAACGCCAACTTCTTGTTGCAAAGCCCTGTGTCTATCCTGTGTGGTGTGTTTGTGGTGTGCTCCTCAGGACCTGCTCTGGTCCTCGGCAGCTTTACTGTGGTTCAGTTCTCTAAGACTTTTGTCTGCTCCTCTGGGCATTTTCTGTGTCAGTGCAACTTGCAGGTGAGCTTTGTGCTGTGTAGCTTCCAATGAGAACTCCAGAATCTTTTTTCCTGCTCTCTCGTGCTGGATTTCCTTCACACCCTCTGGCTGCTGTGGCCCCTTTCCCAGAGTCTCAGGCTAACAGGATTGGATTTTTCTTAGAGTTTTGTCCTTCTGCAAGGTGGCAGTCTATGCAATTATGCCACGGAAGAAGACAGCAAGACAAAAGAGAAAATACATGACCTGGATTCCTCCACTGTTTACACAGCGAAGGTCCCTTCTCTTGCCTGAGGAGCTGTATTTAAAGCTGAACTGCAAGCAGGACAGAAAGGAAAACAGAGAGAGAGAGAGAGAGAGAGAGAGAGAGAGAGAGAGAGAGAGAGAGAGAATGAGAATGAACATGAGGCTTTCCCTCACTGTGGCTTTTAGGGAGCCCCTTTACTGGGGCTGGGGCCATAATAGCGGATTTCCTGAACTGTTTTTTCTGTTTGCATTTTCTGCACAGTTCCTATGTTGGCCAAACCTAGAAAGAAAATTTAGAAAGGGTAAACCCTCCAAACAAAACAAAACAAACCCAAAATCATAGAAACTGATGAAACTGACCAGTCTTTGCCGTGAGGTCTGACTCCCCTCCTCAGCCCACTCCTGAGGCCTTGCTCCGTGCGCGGGAGTTCCTACTCGTGTCCAGGTTTCCTTGTGATCTAGGAGTGGCCGCTGGGCTTTCCACTCGGGCTGCTGCTGTGTGTTTCTGCCTCGCTTTCTATAAATGAGAAGGATGAAAATAAAAAGTGCGAGAGCCCTCTGTTGTGTAATGAACTCTGGAAGGGCAGGGATGGCCGCCGTTTGGTCCACCGTCTCTTGCTCACAGTGTACACTCGGAGCTGGCTTTAAGACAGTTGTCCCTTGGTGTCCATAAAGGATATGTTCTGGAACTTGGGGTCCCCAAATCCACAGATTATCAAGTTCCTTGTACAAACGGTATGGAATTTGGAGAGAATTTGTGTACATCCTGCTGCATAACTAACATATTAGGAAGGCTATATAAATCATTGTTATACCACACTGTTTAGAGCATACTGATAAGAAAAATGTCTGTACCTTTGCATTACAGGTGCGGGTTCCTTTGCAGTGTTTTCTTTCTCAGGCTGACCACATCCCTATAATAGTACCCATGTATTTGGATACCCAGTGTGTTTCTTTGTGCTGTGTTCTCCGCCAAGCCTGCAGCTGCAGGATGCTCCCCAGCTGGGCAGATATGGAAGCCTCCCCAGTGGCCGGGGCTGGTGCACAGGCAAGCCACCCTTTCCTCCCTAAATGAAGGGTTTAGCCACGCAAAATCCCCAGCTTTCCTTTTCCGTTTGGCTGTGGTGGCTTCTCTTGTCCACTTCTTCCCTTCGTATCAGTCAGGGTTTTACTAGAGGAACAGATGTAACACAAGGTGCACAAATGTATAAGACATCACATGACGGGCTTATGATGGTCAGCCAAGGTCAGACGAGGAAGTGTGCAGAGGCATCTGCACTGGAGACTGAAGGATCCAGTCCAAGGTCTGGAGCTCCCTGCAGTGCTCCATGAAAGTCTACGTCAGGGGGCCGATGGGGCTGCAAGGCAAGGCTGATGAGTGTACCCCAGAAGGCTCAAGGATCCAAGGTGGAGGCCGACGAGTCTGCCCTGGAAGACAGGCAATGACTGCAAGGACCAGAGCGCCTCCAAGGAAATGGAACGCTCTGTCGTCCTTCCTCAGTTTCCTTTCCTATCTTTTCAGCGATGAGTCACTCTAGGATGGGCCTCCATGCCCTGGGATGTGGAACTACTGAGCTGAGTTAGTTTTAGTTAAGCTTTTAACACTTCTCAAGTTGACATAATGGATCACCCTCTACACCTTCCCTCCTCTTTTCTCTCAGGTTCTAACAGATTGACATTTTTCATTTTGGAAGCTTGTTGAGAAACAGAATTCTTGGCTTTTCAATAAAGTTTCTTTATTTGCTTTAAAAAGTTGTAATGTTTTAGCAACCTCCAGTTGACTCCCATGTGTTGCTGTGTTTTTCCCATTACACCACGCAGCATTCATTTTAGTGTGGTGGCCTTAGAGAAATGATGAATTTGTTTAATAGATTGGTAATTATCCAGCACAAAAAATGATCATTAAAATTCCTTTTCTTTTGATTACTATATATCACCAAACCCACAGTCCATTTATCACCAGCTGCTTCTATTAATTACGCCTTGCTTGTCCTTGACTGAGGGACTCCTGAACTGCTTATTGGGACTTTAAGTATAAATATTAATTGCAAGAGTTATTTCTTAAGTTCATGTGATAAAATTTCAGACTTGCTTAGCAAGTAGAGCTGTGCAAGCTTCATTTATGGTTTTGCCAACCATTTCTTGTTGCCTTAGAATGCTTTCCATTGGGCCGTGAGCTACCTGGAAGTGTCCTTTTTGGTTAGGGGCTTGGGGTGATTTATTGGTCATCTGTCAGTGGATCTCTGGTGCACAAACACCATCCTAGTGGAAAGCACAAGGTAATTTTTGTAAGTAATGTGAATGCTTTTTTTTTGAGCCTGGGTTTTGTGTGGAAAAGGTATATGTGATCTTCCTGGGAAGAATTCTGGGGATTCCCACTTACAAGATGGGAAATCTGGTCAGAAAAATAGACTGCAGTGTGTTAGGTATGTGTGGGACCCGAGTTCCAAGCACCTGGGCTATTGGAGGTTGCCAGGATGGGTGATTCTGAGTCCGTGTTCATTGGCTAAGACAGTTGGGGATGTGGGGCAAAGTGGCTCACTGGGCCAGTTGGCTGTGTCCCCAGTCTAACTGTGTGTTTCTCTCCTGCTTTCCCTGGGCCTCCAGTTTACCGTGGCTTCTGGGCAGTGCTGATGCTCCTCGGGGTGGTGGCTGTGGTGAGCGCCAGTTTCCTGATCGTCTGTGCTGCCCCCTTCTCCAGCCAGCTCCTCTACAAAGTCGGCGGGGGCTCCTACATTGCTGCAGGTATGTGCCGAGCTGAGGCTGCGCACACAGCCCCGGCTGTCTCCACAGCTTCCTGCTGCCGGTTCTGTGCGCATCTCTGCTCAGTGTGCAGTAGGGGAAGGCACCAGCTTCCACACTCAGTACTGGGCAGCGCTGCCTCCCAGCTTTCCAGAGACTCCCAGTCCGCAGGCTCACCATGGAAAATGCTTCCATTGCAGGAGTGAGAACGCTGAGATCAGAGGGGACAGGCCCACGCCCAGCTCTGGGACAGCCCCAGTCTCTTGTTCTCTTAATTTTCAATCTGTAAGATAGGGGCAGTAACACGTCTCCCCATAATGTTATCAGGATATAGGTGTGCTTTTTGTATACCCTTAAAAAGGACAACCCTATGACCATATTTTTATAAGCGTATACTTGTTATTTATCTATCATAAGCATAAGCATTCATTTTCTGTACTGTCCTTCAGTTTTCTGCTTATTTCTGTATTTTTCACTTATGTAGTGTGACAGGGTCTTGTCATGTTGTTAAGTTGCTAAGTTGCTTGGACTTGTGATCCTCCTGCCTCAGCCTTCCAGAGCGGTGCGATTATCGCGATGTGCGGCTCCACCTGACCCTGTTCTCCTAACTGCGTTCATCTGTATGAGCTAAACGTGTTCTTCTGTTTAAACATGCATTTAGTTTAGTCAGCGTTCCCAACGGCCTAATTCCTGATGAAATGATCATACTACAAATAGAAAAAAATGATTGGAATATACACAACTCGTGAATTGTAAGGGTTTTTTTTTTTTTTTTTTTTATTTAGTTAGGAGGTGAAAGTGACGTGACTCCCACGCAGATACAAGCACAACGCTATTCTTTTTAAAGGGAACAGGCAGAACCTTGTAAAGTGGATGGACTTCCGCCTATAGGGGCAAGTGGTCCCGAGCTGCGCTAAACGGTGGCATCTGAGCAGACGGACAGTGTCCAGCATCGCTGTGTGACAGCCTCGGGGTGTAGAGGAGTCTGACGGAGACCTTCCTCGTCTTATAACCTTGGCAAGGACAGCGCCGCATGCTGCCCGCCAGTGTTGTAGTGGTCAGTTAGCAAACGGTAATGCTGCGCTTAGTTCTGCGTAAGGAATACAAGAAGGCATCAAATGTGGATCTTGTGTGACGGAGTTAAAAAATCCCTGGGGGAAAAGCCCGCTTACCTGGTCTGTCTTTTTATTTCAACTCTTTTCTCCTACTGGGATTGCCCTTGGAACTCAGAGTTCTTAGTAGAGCAGTTTTAGCGGGACAGACGTGACCCGCGCAATCTGTGCGCGCTTTGGACCCTCCGTTCGCAGACTGGCGCGAGCGGCACCCCTTCTGATCGCGGAAGATTCGGGGCCCATCGCAGCGCGGCCGCCCTCTCTTCGGCTCCTCAGCTCCTGGAGCCCGGCCCTCCTGTCTCGGCGGCGCTCTTCTGCTGCCGCAGAGCTCGGGCTGCGCGGCTTCCCGGCGGCTCCTTCCGCTCAGATCTTCCTGATTAGAAGGCCTGGGACACCGGCCCACTCTGCCTCCCAGTGCCTTCTCTCGTAAGTCGTGTTTCGCTGCCAGGCTCTCCCCTTGTTTCATCTAAAGTCTGGCGAAGGTGCATCCCTTCAGGGTCCTCTCAAAGAGAAGAGCGCACTGCCCTCTTCTAAAATGTAAGGTCACTTATTTCTTCTCGGTGCCCCGCTTTGGGTTTTACTCTCAGTTCATAGTAAAGGGAATGCGTAGGGGCAGCGGTAGGAAGCGCTAGCATACGATGGGTAGCAGGATTGTTTTACAAGTGCTCGGTGCTAGGTTTGGTCCTACTGGCAGATTTTGTGCGTTCTCTATGTGTGGGCATTTACTGCTACCGAAAATTAAATGTTGTTCAGTTTTTTGCTTTACAATTTGTGCAAGAGAGTAGTGCAGCCAGAGTTTATCTCTGGCAAGGTAGCGCTTCTGCTGTGGACTCACGTAACCGCGCAGTGGTTTCTTCATTGGCGACTGCCCTGGGGCCTGCGCTAAGGGACCCGGGTCTCCTTCCCTGGAATTTCAAGTCAGAGGCCCTGGAGCTCTGAGGTGTCCAGGGCTTCTGGGAGCCCACACTGAAAATTACTGAACCAGTTATGACGCATTCTTTAAGGGTGATTTTTAATTTCTTTGATGGCACAATTCTTTTTTTAAAAAATAATTTTATTGAGAAACAAATAGAAATGAGACAGTTTCAAAACCGATTAGTAGGACAGTTTCAATAATTAATAATTGCATATTGTTATCTTCTTAGTGGTTATTCATAGTACATGATGCAGACATGATGTCCTGTCCACAAACACTATTAGAACAAATCTCTCTATTCATTGAATTAAGAGGAAGTAGACATATATCTATCCTATTTTGAATATACAAATACAAAATGGTCCTTCATTTGTATCCCCCTTTTTTGTTTAGTTTTGTCAATTCTGTATGGTTTGTGTGTGACTACTTATCTAAGAAGAGAGGGAGACAGAGAGAGAGAGAGAGAGAGAGAGAGAGAGAGAGACAGACAGACAGAGACAGAGACAGAGACAGAGACAGAGACAGAGACGCAGAGTGACTGTGCTACCTGAGATACAGTATTACTATGCCCTTTCTATTTGGGGCAGGAAGCTGGCTGCACTCAGGGCTGGCACTGTTTGGCTGTCTACTGGCTTCTCCTACCATCAGACATGATCACAAAGCCAATAACATCCTTCAGCTTGAATACCTATTGACCAAAGGTTTTTTAAAGTTTTATCATGACTGTTACAGACGTACACTAATAGTGCAAATAGGCAGTTTCTCCCCTTAGGATGGGAACTGACAGTTATCTTGCTGAACTCCGGGGAAAGCACAGAATGTTCTTCTTGTCCTGGGACTGCCAGCCAGCTCTTGGTCTCCGGCACCAGCTGGGACCCAGAGCCAGGCTGACAGCTGTGCAGGGCACAGATTGATTTGAATTGAGGGTCTGATGCTCTCTTCGGTTAGACCTGGTGTTTTTGCAGCAAGGGGCCCCAAGTTGTTGTGCCGAGCACCCCAGGCTTTCCTGGCTTAGGGCTCACCTCCTCCCCACCCGTCTACCCCTTGGTGCTTGCCCTGTGCCCACTTTCTGCCCAGCAGGGAGTCAGGAACAGGAGTGGGGTGGGCTCAGGTTGCCTGCTTTGTGGATGCCACAGATAGGCCTGGATTGTACTGGGACAGATGGCCTTGGAGAGGGCCAGAACACATTCCAGACGCCCTGACGGGGCATGCTCTTGAGGCACTGGCAGAAGCCTGTTTGGGGCATTTCACACTTGGCAGAAGGACACTGTGTTGCAGCTGATGGGGGCAGCTGGGGTAACCCTCGGTATTCCCCGGGCTGGCCAGCAGGCCTAGAGCCAAAACAGCAGGCAGGTGCTGACCTTGGCCTTGCGCTCGTGTTCAGGCTGGGCAGCCAGCTTGTCCAGGGAGCATTAGCTCTGGGCAGAGAGGATGGCAGTTGTCAGGGCACGAGTACCCTGAGCCTGTGCCTCAGGGAGTTGTCCCCACCCCCACAGGCCCGTCAGCTGCGGGGATTCTTTCAGAGTGGCCTCACGTGGAATGCAGACCCAAGGGTGGGTTCTGCACTCTGGCAGAAGCCCCAGCTCTGGTTTTACCACATACTGGATATGACTGGAAACCAGCAGGCTCAGTGATCCCCCCACTCTGGCAAGATTCTCCGTAAGATAAGAACTCTGTTGGACAGCTGGAGCAGCCAGAGTCCTGGCTCATGCCTGTAATTCCAGCACTGGGGGACAGAGGCAGGAGGGTCTCAAGTTCAAGCAGAGTGTGGGGGTGGGTAGGCGTGGGGGTATGTAGGCGTGGGTGGGTAGGCAGGTGGGTTGGCATAGGGGTGGGTAGGCGTGGGTGGGTAGGCGTGGGGGTGCATAGGCATGGGGGTAGGTAGGTGTGGCAGGGATTTGGGGCTCTGTGGACAGAGCTGTAGTGGAGCTGGAAAACCCTCAGTAGGAGCTTACACCAACACAGCATTTGTGGCGGGCAAGGAAGCCTTGCAATGCCCGACAGAGAGTAACGCCACCATCTCACCATGGTTCTGTGGCCCATGGGATGCAGGACAAGCCATCGAAACTAGTGCTGGTTCCTCCAGCTCGCAGGGTGGATGGGTAGACTGCCATCATGAGCCGGGTCGCCTGATCCCTAGCAGACTAGAGTGACTGCTGAGGAGGGATCTGTGGTGACTCCGAGCTGGGTGGTCCTGGCCCAGGTGGAGGAGGATGAGGAGCACAGGAGCAAAGATGCCCTTGTCACTTTGTCCTTAGATGCCCCTGGTTGCTTCTTCCACATGCCTGTTTGTGTTCCTTGTTCTGTTACCCCAGGGCGTGCTCTTCCCTTAGGCCAGCTTCTTCCTGGGCCACGGGTGACCACAGCAGTGGAGAGGTCATGTGCACTGTAATTCCTGCCTGCAGGATGGAGGCTGAAACCACTTCTCCCAGGAGGCTCAGTGACCTCACCTGCTCTGGCAAGATGCTCTATAAGATAAGAGCTCTGTTGAACAACTGGGGCAGCCAGAGTCCTGGCTCATGCCTGTAATTCCAGCACTGGGGAGGCAGAGGCAGGAGGGTCTCAAGTTCAAGTCATGCCTGGCCAGTGTAACAAAAATAAATAAATAAATAAATAAATAAATAAATAAATATATATGGGGCTGGGATGTAGCTCAGTAGAGCATCTTTAGGTTCAATCACCAGTGTGGCAAACACTAAATTAAAACAGAACACCAACAAAACTAGGGAAGAAATAGGGCCATGGATATGAAGAGAATAAAAATTCTCATCTCCAACAGATGAGACTCACTTGGAAGTGGGGCTCCTGGGTGGATTTTCTTTCTTTCTTTCAAAAGGTGAGAGGGTTTTGCAGTGGATACGGGCAGGAGCGTGCAGAGAGGGTGGGAGTCCCGGTGGGGAGGGCTGAGGCGGCGGCCAGCGCACGCGCTTCTTCTGCACTTGGGCCTCCCTCACCCACACTCCTCACCACATATC